GGAGAAATTCAGAGGAATATTGAGGTGGTTATACCTAGGTTGTCGGGTACGGGAGAGGATGTCATAAATGTTGTGCTTGAATATGATTGGATTCCCTCTTAGTGTTCGAATTGCAAGGTTTTTGGCCATCGCTCGGGATCATGTATGAAGGAGACTAATGCTAAGCAAATGGGGCCTAAACCTTTCTCACAAAAAGGGGGGTTTAAAAATGTCAGAAACAACCAATGGCGGAAAAAATATATCTCTGAAGGTCGGGCTTCTTCTTCGGGTACGGCCTCAGGTAAGCAGGATTCTTTGTCTGGAGTTGGTACCTTAAAAAAAGTTCAGGTGGAATCGAATTGCTTGGGTAATGATACAAATGATGCACATACCAACCTTCCATGTTCTGGGGGATCAACTAAGTCGGGGGAGCCGGATGTTGGAAWGGTGGCGGGTCAGTTCTGTACGGTTGATGCGGGTAGAACACCAAGGGGTAGAGAAGATAATCCAAACGTGAAAATATTATCAGAAGAGGATCCGACGTTAATTCAAAAGGTGGTCCACACCTTTAAACCAAAGAGAGGCGAGTTTCACGCTTTGGATTCTAGTAATCGGTTTGCTTCTCTATCTTCTACCGATTCTAGTGATGATGATGACGATATGGAGCTCATTGACACCGAGGGGCGCCTTATGGGAAAACGAGGTRAGGCTGTCACTGTTTCTTCGTCTCAATGATAAATTTCGCCATGTGGAATATTAGGGGTTTAAATGCCCTTATCAAACGAAAGGAGGTTCGTGATTTAATTCATCATAAGCATCTTTCTTTATGTTGCTTAATTGAATCAAAATTACTTCTAATCACTTGGGGGATGTTTGTCATAGTGTTTTTGGTAATTGGAGTTGGATTTCAAATGGCTCTATTTGTGAACAAGGCGATCGCCTTATTATTGCATGGGACCCGTTAGTTCTTTCTGTTCTTCTCATTGAGCAGCACCAACAATATATCCACTGTGAAATTCGGTTGTTTGGTCATCAGGAGCCTGTTTTTATTACGTTTGTCTATGGGTGTAATACGGGCTTGGACAGGCGTGTGCTTTGGCGGGCGTTGGGTGAATTTCATGTATTTAATCAAATGAAAGCATGGGTTGCGATGGGTGATTTTAATTCTATGCTTTTCCCTCATGATGGGTTGGGAGGATCATCTAGACGAAATTCTGACATGGAAGAGTTTCATCTTTGCTTGGAAGAGGYGRAATTGTTTGATATTTCATACCAAGGATGCCAGTATACTTGGATACAGAAACCTTCGGGGGGAGATGGTGTTATGCGAAAACTAGACCGTATTTTGGGAAACTCGCCTTTTGTCTCTAGATTTGGGGATGCTTCGGTTTTCTTTGAACCGAGGGGGATATCTGATCACTCGCCGGGTCTTCTTTCTTTTAAAGTTGGTAGACGTATTCGACAGCGTGGCTTCAAATTTGACAATTTTGTGACTTCTCACAAGGATTTTCTTGGTTCTGTGGAGGAGGTTTGGGCAAAACCTCAGAGAGGATCTTACATGATGC